GAGTAAGCTAGAGTGTGAATTTAAAGCACATTAGCTACTCCACACTAATTCCCTACATGAGCATTCTTAATTGTGCACTAGAAGTGCCTGTGTGTGGTTTTGCTCAGTATATTTTAAAGTAAGAGTGTCCCCACATAGCATTAATGAGGGATAGCAAGTGCGCTTTAAAATTTACACACTGGCTTATTCCACATTACCTTCCTCGTGTAGACAAGCCCTAAGTCTAATCTCACTCCATTATGCCTTTCATTGGTATTTTAAGGGTTTCCAAACTGTGGGCTCATCTGGGCTCTGTGACCCACACAACACAATTTGATGCTGACCAGTTGGTTTGGGACATACACAGGGCCTAATCTCAATCAGTCATGATAGACTTAAACATTACTACAAGCTGTGTGCCTCGAAGACCTGCCTATTTTTAAGACACTAAAGTCTCAAATTTTGCCCTGAAATTCCAGCCGTATAACCCCAATAAATTTAGTGTTTAACTTTGGCAGAGTTTAGCACTAGGTGAGCCCACCAAAACATTAATAGTCTTTCACCCTAATCCACGTATTTCTCGTAACAAATACCTTGTTCAATATTTTAACTATCTATAGTGGAATTCATATGAAGCTAGTATATAGCATAGCTGAAAAAAGCGGGGGTGGGTGGGTAGGAAACAGGTGGAGGTTACTAGCCAAGAAGAGGAGTACAACAGGACTGCAATAAATACTGTACCCCAAATGGAAGGCCGTTTGAAAACAAAATGTATTTTCACTCCTTTTCATTTTAGGTCCAAATGGCTTATGTGCAAAAAGTGTGGTTTTCACCAGTAAACCTACCAAGACCAAGATTATGTACTGTAAACTCAGGTTTAAAATGATTAATCTTATCTCCCCTTTCCGTGTTTGTTCTCTTCTTAAATAAGGGACTGCATTCCCCACTTTACACAGCCCCTCCCTTTCACTACTTGGGTACATCTGGTATATGGCTGCTGCCAATTCTCTCATGACATGCAAAGCAAGAATCATTAGCGCAGTAGTGAGGGACCGTCAGGATTCCTAACTGGGGACTCTGCCTACTTACTTGAATAGGAGGTCCATCCCACCACCCAGAGCAGCCTGCCTAGTTTACAGGGGAGTGAAGTTCCCATGCCTATGCAGGAACAGTAGTTTATAAATCAGGGTCCCCTGGATTCTGCAAATTCTATGGCTGAGAAATTTAAAACATTGTTTCTAGTCCATATACCAGTGGAGATCAGTGTTCCCTCTAATTTTTTATGTCCATGTGTGACATCACCTTCATATTGGTGCACATAAAATTCATGTGGTGAAGGTGGGGCCGAGGGGTTCGGAGTGGGGGAGGGGGCTCAGGACTGGTGCGAGGGTGCAGGCTGCCCCGTGGCTGCAGTAGGGAGAGAGAACTCCCCCCAGCAGCTTGGGGCCGGGGGAGAGGCATCTCTCCCCACCACAGCCCTAAGCCCCTGCGCGGGTCTTAATAGGCAGCTGCGCGGCCACGCAGCTTAGAGGGAACTAAGGTGGAGACAGCACTGAACTCAAGTGAGCATGCAGCAATCCATGCCTGTTTGAGTCTCTGCACAGAGCCTAAAGTAACTAAGATGTTAACAGCCCCATTCATCTTTCAGTGCTCCATGGACTCAGCCATTCTGTAGCTGTAGAATTTGGCATCTTTCCAATATACCACAAAACTCAGTATTTCTGACATGGAGTTTGTCAGCACCCAGCTGCAGCAAAATGACATTTACTATTTTCTTGCCCAGACCTTATTGCTGCCACATCTTGTCACAGACACAGACTTTAAGGTCAGAATGTACCATCATGATAATCTAGTTTGAGCTCCTGCACATTGCAGGCCACAGAACTTCACCCACCCAGTCCTGTGACAGACCCATAACCTCTGGGTGAGTTACTGAAGTTCTCAGATCATGACTTAAAGACTTCAAGTTACAGAGAATCCACCATTTACACTAGTTTAAACCTGCAAGTGACCCATGCCCATGCTGCTAAGGAAGGCAAACCCTCCTCCTCTCTTCCCACCCTCCCCTCCTCCCCGCCACCCCCACAGGGTATCTGCCAATCTGACCCAGGACAAATTTTTTCCTGACCCCAAATAGAGGTATCAGTTAGACCCTGAGTATGTTAGGCCAACCAGCCAGACACCTGAGAAAGAATTCTCTGTAGTAACTCAGAGCCCTCTCCATCTAGTGTCTCATCACCCGCCGATGGAGATATTTACTGCTAGCAGTCACAGATTGGCTACAGTGGCACGTAGCCAATCTCCTCCATAAACTTATTGAGTTCAGTCTTGAAGCCACTTAAAGTTTTTTTGCCCCCACTGATCCCCTTCCAGAACTTTATTCCTCTGATGATTAGAAACCTTCACCTAATTTCAAGCCTCATCTTGTTGCTCGCCAATTTATATCCTCAGGGATTCCCAGTAAGGAGGAGTTAATTGACTTCCAGTGCACATTCCCTGAACTTCCCCATGGAGCTAGGCAGCAGGAGGTCAAGGACCTAAATGTTAGACTCCAGCTTGCAGCCAGGGAGGAGTAATGGAGCTAGAATAGGCTGGCCAACTAGGCTGACTGCAGACAAGCAGCAGCAGCGGTGGCCCAAAATGATGAGCTGCTGAAACTCCCCTTTCCTGGAACACATGAAGGAGAAAGGGGAAGGAGTCAGGCCACCCGGAAAACACGGCAGGATCCAACACCGGGGAAATGGAACAAAGCTGCCTGGAGCACAAAGTGGAGAAAGTCATCCTCAAAAAGAGGACTGTTGACATTTATTTTTTAAAAAAAATTCAATTAGTATTTTGAACCTGAATCTTAGTGGCATGTATGTGGGGAGGAAGGAAGGGAATGCTGGATGATATTTCACAGCGCTAGACTAAATTAATGTTGCCATGGAATTGGGTGCATGGTGCAGATTAGTCATACAGATCACATGGGGTCTGTTATAGTCCATCAGTACTAGGCTGGAGAAAGGCAAGCCCAGCTGCAGTAGGGATGGTGGTCTAGGCAGATGCACAGGTAAGTGTGATGCTGGGAGAATCCTCTTTTCCTCAACAGCTCCTGGCTGGCTGCCAAGAACCACCAGTTCCCCACTCCAGCAGCAACTGTAGCACGGCTACTGTTGGGTAAAATGCCTGCAGAGATCCATGCCATTGGAACAGCATAATCAGGAAGGAGAGCATGCAAACAGTGCAAATGGCACCTGGCCAGTTCTCAGCAAAGGTGTGTGGATTCCTTTCCCATATGTTTTTGCTCATGGGCTACAGATGCCCTCTAGGCCTCAGCCTGACATCCCCATTTCCTACTGCAGTCACAGCTAGGTGTTCGTGTCCCTAAAGCTAACTTTCAGAATAAAACTGGTCTCTAAACTGGGACCTCTGCATTTCTACTCTACAATGCTCTTTCTACTCGGTTAGCTCTTAATTATTAGAGCTGGTTGGAAAAAAAAAAAAAAAAAATGGAGAAAGCTTGCCAAAAAAATTTGAATTCAGGCAAAAAAAAAAAAAAAAAAAAAAAAAAATAAAAAGAATTGATTTGCAAAATTTCTACCAGCTTTACTGATTACATGAGAGAAGCCTCCCCTCTCAAATAAAAAAAAAAGTCAGCAAATGGAGGTTGGGACCTTACAGAGAGTTCTCTTTAAAAACCACACAACATCCAAGACATCTTAAAAGCCCCATCTGTAAGTGTACTAGAAATATGTAACTGGGAAAAAATGATTTAGCTGGCAATCACTTTAAAAAGCTGGATGTGGAATACTCAAAAACCTTTAGGCAAACAAACAGGCAATTCCTTGAGAACCAGAAAGTTAGTTTTATACACATAAGGAACTTCATCTAAAAATGTCAACTCTAGCTAAAACTTTGCTACAGCCACTGACTATGCAATGCACTTTAAATACTTCTAATTTTGCATACATTTTGACAGCTGACAAAGAGAATGGGATGAGATCAAACGAACTTTGCAGTACAGCTCTTCGTTTTGTTATTTAAATATATGTATACACATCCACTCAGTCTGCTTAAAACAGGGGTTCTCAAACTGGGGGGTCACAAGATGATTACATGAGGGTCATGAGTTCTCAGCTCCATGGAGCTGACAGCCCTGAGTCCCCATTACATTAAGTTACCCCCCCATTTTTAATTTATATGGGGGGCACACTCAGAGGCTTGCTGTGTGAAAGGGGTCACCAATACAAAAGCTTTGAAAACCACTGACTTAAAAATACTCAGAAAGTTAATAACCAGGGGTATGGCTTTTAATGTCTTCATCCTGGAGACATGTGTGACCTGTGCAACAGAACTGTTCAACCTATGCTAAACAAAAAGTTAAATGAAAGAAATGCTCCATTCAGTCTTCAGTTCACATTATTTGTAACATCTCTCAGACAGAACATACAGATAACATGTATCAAGGAAGCTGCATTAAAAATATTGCCGTGCGAAGTTTTTTTCCCCCCACCCAAGAGACTGTAGCGAGTATGACTGAACAAGGATTCCATCCACCCTTTTCCCCACTGAAAAATAAGAAGCTTCAGATTTATTTAATTTATCTCATGCGGGGGGGGGGGGGGGGAGAGAGAGAGGAGAATTAAGTTGTGATGTTCCATCTGCCGGGCTTAGTGCAAACCAAAGTTCCAACTGAGTTAAATCAAAAATACCCCACAAGTCAGTGATGTACAGTTATCTATTCTTTTCACATCTCAATATCCTTTCCAAAGCCTTTAATGTCTAGCTCAGAGAGCATTCAAAGGCCCCGTTAGCATTTATATTGCTCATCTACCAACTTGGATGAAACGCAAATAAAAAGCATTTAAATTCTTCGTAAGTGAGACTATAGCACAGCTAATATCTTCAACCTAGCAACATACGTATCTGCTTCTTCCATCTGAATCCCATAATTCACAACAGCTGAATGTTATGCAAAATGCTGGTTTAAAGAGCATATTGCGTGTATGTGCATATGCAAAATTACAGTTCCAACATACCTGTTATTTTGTCTCTTACAAGCTTGCAGGACTCTATCTCCCCAATGCTTCCAAACAGACTCTTCAGCTCTTCTTGTGTCATGTTTTGAGGAAGGTAGTTGACTATTAAATTGGTCTTGCTGTCCTCTGTGTTCCCAGAGTCAACTGGCGATGAGCAGTTGTTGTTTATGGTGGTTGGACCATTGGCTGTGTTATTGCAAGTTGGTCCATTAGACAGTTGTGTTTCCATGGCAGCAATTACCTGCTAAAACAGAGAAAATAAGAACTGTCAGAATTCATATTTCACAATCTATTAGAGATTCCAGCCAAGAATTTAAAGACTTGTCACTATGCACAAGAGGTTATTTCCAGGCTTCCAATAATGCCTCTACAAAAAGGAATTTTTAATTGTGATGCAGTAAGATGTTTAGAAATGTAAAGGCAAATAAGGTTGGTGCTAAGATATTTATTAAGGGTGCTTCTAGAAAGCGTTGTCCAAAAAATTAACCACTGAAAAACTTAATTTTACTACACATAGAAGCAATCAGCCTTCCAAGTACAGGAATTATTATATCAACACATTTTAACCAGTTACTAAGCACTAACATTGTTAACAGTTTACAGCTGAGCACCAACAAAGTACAGGATGCACTTTAAAAACAAAAAACAAAAACAAAAAACAGCATGTACTCTTTTGGTTACTTTTCCAGTATTGAAAACAAGTTTAACAATATTTTAAGACTACTTCTGATGAACATTGGAAGAAAACAATTCATAATCCCTGATTTAAAGATGTTTAGAGAGAGAATGGAAATGTTGGGATGGAAACTGGAACTCTTCTTCCTTGATGATCTAAGGCCATTTTCTTCTGCACTTCTGTGGGTCAGTAATAACTTTTAAATAGCACTCAGCATTCCAATAGGCTGATACCTACAATCCCCCTTCTCCCTACCTCTCAGCTCCCCCCCAAAAATCAAAATACATGGCTTAGTACTTACTGTACTTATTTTACTCATAAATGAGTGATTATGGTACAGACTTTTATTTCACCCCAAATAACTGTATGGACAACTCACAGATGCAGAAGAGGTCATTAAAGAGTCAACGCTTGCCTAGATGATACCAGAGATCTATTCCAACTAAGTGGGATATCAGATATCCACTGCATGGTAACTATTGGCAAGACAACTTTTTAATGCAGCCATTGTATCCGAGACTTAACTGTTCTATCCATTTACAGAACTAGCTACACAGGACAGTTTCCAATTCTAAATACAATGTAAACGTTGGTCAGGTTTATTATCTAAAAATATAGGTTCCAACATTAAAACGACAACCCTAAGCACAAATTACAGAACACTTTCAGAAAGATAATTAGTGCTCAAATCTAACTTTTTGCTGGTTTCAAAGAGGACATGTCACACAAAAACCTTATTTAATAAATCTGCAGCTTAAGTAGCCAAATTCTCTTATGACATCAACTGTTTTCAAAGCCTGGAAATTTGATTTAAGTGAGTAAAAGTGTCTTCAAAGTAGGAGATTTAAAGCCCCGTGAAACAGTTGTGGTTCTGGTGCTTGTTTTTTGTTTTGTTTATTTAAAATAGGTTACAACTAGGACAACTCCTGTAGAAATACAGTCTTGCCCAAGAGGTGACATTTGGTGCAAAACTGAAAGCAGTAATTATGTATATTAAACATTTTTCCCATTTAAAAAAATGGACCCAGTTTTGTTGAACTGAGCTCCCACTAAAGCAGCAACATTTTCTTCCCTCCTGACAAACTCCTGTGGGTTAACCTGGTCCTGGCACTGTATTAAAACAAGCCTGTGTCAAAAGACAAGAAAGTAGCTGAGGCCAATTAAGACAAAATTACTATTCAAATGTTAGTATATCTGGCGGAGCCGGGTAAGCCACAAATGCTGCATTCCGACTGAAACTCACTGGGTTTGCGTTTAAATTTTGAAGTGTTCATTGATCGAAATTAGCAAGGACAACAAACAATCCTCACTTAATTGCACATTTTATTTTTATGTTCAGGAGGCAAGAATGAGATCCTAAGCCAACATTCAAGTGAACAGCTGCAGTAGCCTGGGTACACTGAAATTACAACATTTCTCAGCTATAGGACCATCTGCTCTGAATCAAGTGATACTAATATGTTATATTTTACAAATAACCCATATTCCATTGATAGGTTCAACAACTGTTCACAGAATATCAAGCAAGTCTTTGAGCAGTTACAGAGTAAGTATTTTTTCAGCCAGAAAAAAAAAATAGTTTTAAAGGTAATTTACAATTTTAAAACAACTTTTAGAGTAGGAATTGTAAATAACTTTAAAAAAATTAGTAACCAAAAAAATACAGTGTACAGGTTTTATAGATTACTGTAATTTAGTATTCAGACCATACCAAAACAGTTTTATTACAATTATACTCTTCAGTTATCCATTGGATATTTTAAATCAGTACAAAAAGCTATATTTGTAAACAGAAAGAAAATCAGTGCGGTTTAAATTTCTACAGATCACCATGTTTAAAAAAAAGTTATCGTAATACACTGTTCTGGGCCCTGACAAAATAGAGATACAAACTATGTTTAAACATGAAAGCATATACAGTAGAGATTTAAGTGTTTGGTATGGCCTCAGCACTATTTTAACACGTTAAAAAGTAGCCTACAGAATTTAAGAAAAATCCCACAGACCCCAGTCCAAGGCTCTGCTGCCCACGAACCACTTCTAAGCAGAGAAGCCACATCACACAGTCTGACTGCCATGTTAGTTTGGAGTTGCCGTCTGCAATATGGACACAAAAAGTACCGTATGTTAGATTAGCAAGATAATGCAACAAATCAGTTTGTACAAATTTACAGTAATTGTATTTATATTCCAAGCACGTCCATGCAGTGTGGTTTAATTGAATTTGAGGCAATTCCAATCTAATCTTTCCAAACTTGGTTAAAACATGTTTTTCTTACATGAATTGTGTTTGTTTTTTAAAACAGCCTAATTTAAAGGTAGTACAAACTAGTTACCTCTGCACCTAGCCTGGAAACTACCTTAAAACCACACCATGTCTAAAAGGAACCACACCACAACATGATTTTTTTTAAAAAAAATCCTGTAACAAGGAAGGGAGAAGGAGGGAAACAAATGAATCTAGTTTCAATTAGAATGTAAGGTGGTCACGTACCATTAAAAAAAACCAACAACGCTCCATTACACATCCATCCCACCCATGAAAGTCACAACACAAGACAACACCGTGCTCCGCTAGAATCCAGTCTACTCTTAACCCTGGAACTTCACGTTAAAAAAAAAGAGAGTTAAATTTATGTACAGAAGCTTTGCTGCTTCAGTTCAGCATGGATTTACTTACAATAGCCCTATTGGAACAGTATACTGTACATAGATAAAGAAGCAGAAGAGTCAGTCAGCATTTTTCAACTGGAATAATTGGACCAATAAATATGAATGTTAGAGGTAATGTTTGAATAAAGGGTATTATTGTCCCCAAGCAAACCAACCGAATTTTTTTAAATATGCAAATTGCAAAACCCAGCAGGATTTGAAATTAGCAATGCTAGGAAGCCACCGACACAGGTAATGGCCATTTACAACGTATTACAACTTGCCCAGACACTAAATACAGCCACAATCTTGGCATTAAACCAAAGCAGGAGACTGCTGCTTTTTTGCCACAATTTTGGCTGTGCTAATCTAGCCCAACTTCTTTACTCTATTCATATAGGAGGGAGGGATAGCTCAGTGGTTTGAGTATTGGCCTGCTAAACCCAGGGGTTTGAGTTCAATCCAGAGGGGGCCATTTACAGATCGCGGGGGGGGGGAAAATGGTCCTGCTAGTGAAGGCAGGGGACTGGACTTGATGACTTTTCAAGGTCCCTTCCAGTTCTATGAGATAGGTATATCTCTATATAAAAAAAATAAATCCAAAGATTGTTTGCCACAGCCATAAGCAATTCAGCTTTTGGAAGGCTGTTTTCTGCATAGAATTTAGAACACAAGGCTACTTAATTTAAGTAACCCATGATAGAGCAATTCTGATTTTCCTTTATTTCAGTTATAAAACTTAAAACAGTTTGCTTGAAAAGTTAAAGCTTATAGTCAGAGTTGTACCAGTAGTAAATATTTAATGTTCCAATTTAAAAGCAATACTTGTGTCTTCATATCAATTACAGGCTTAATAAATCTTTGAAGAGACCATTTGAGACATTGTCTCTAGTCTTATCTTAACCCAAAGAGGATAATACATAACTCAATCTACCATGCTGTAAATCCTACCCTACAATGACCCATTTGCAGACTGAAGGGCAAGTTAAAAGAATAGTCACCTACACAAGAAAAGCTCAGTGTAATTCTCAGTTGTTTTAAGCATACATGCTCCAGTTGGTCCGGACAAACCTGATCAAGTAGTCTTGAAGGATGTAGTTGTGTCATATCATCCTGATTTACAATAACTTGTATTCTAATGCACTGCAGTTCCAAAAAACTCACTAAGTTGACACAGTTGTGTCACAGAAGTAGGAAACTTTAGGATCTCGTCACTTCTAAAGATGACTTGACATGCAAAGAGTTTTACTTTGACCATAGGAAAAGGTGACATTTCGAGTGGTCCCTCTTCAGACGACTAGTTTTCTTAACAAATGCTTTCTCTGGTGGTAGAGACGCATTACATAAGCTTCCCACATGACTATCATTGGCCAATCCTTTATGCTAGCCAAGAATTGAATTACCAAAACAATTTCTCAAAGACAGATTTTGCTCTGCCACCTGTTTTACAATTTCACTCGTTACCACCAACCCTGTTATACAGACTGCTCCAAATCTCGAGTTTCCTGGAAGTAAAAGTCAAAATTAGCCTTTGCGAAGCCACCAACTTTAATGTATTTTTAAAAATACATTAAAGTTCTGGTTAGAGAAATGGCTTTTAGTTACATTTTATTGACTAATGATTTCCTCTCAGCTCTTCCATATCAACAACATAACATTTCTAATTAACACTCATTTTGAAGCCCACTAGACTTGAAGTTGACCATTTCTTTAACAACATTTATTTCAAGTTTTACCCCAGCCCCCGATTCCCCTTGGGAAAGGTCTTTGGTTTTCTATCATCTTCTATTGCTGGGTAAAAGACCCACAGAAACAGCAGAAACTAATTGATCAGGGGAAACCAATGATACAGACTATGCAGTGTTAGATGCACAAAGGAAACAAGAAAAAGGGACAAACACTGTCTTCTAAGTCTCTCCTAAATTATTCATAATCAGGCAGGGTGGATAATTTTTTTTAAATCAGACTTTAAATACTTTTTTTTTTTAAAATGAACCTATTTTAAATTAAATTTGAAGTTATGATCACCTATGCTAAAGGTACAAGTTTACTGTAACCTATTTAATTCATTTAAGTTAAATTAATATAGAATATTCATGCAGTCCAATTTGTTGTCAATGATTTAAAGACAAATGTCAGACCACTAGCCTGGTCAAAGTCACTAGCTAAGTACCAGGAACCAGACTTTGTTGAAGTGTGCTAACCCAACTTTTGACAGTAATAGCCTTGTGTGCAGGTGCAGAGAATATTTTCTTCATTTCAGTTTATTCAGCTTATTCAGTTCAATTAGTTCATTCAAAGCCGAGAAAGCAATTGAAAGTTGAAAAAGCATGGAAGTTTTTTCTCTTCCAATTTATGAATAAAAATTAGGTCTGACAGGTTGAGATCTATTAGTTCTAAAGTCCAGAAGGAATCAGTACAATTCACTTGTATTAAATTAAAAAAAAAAAAAAACCAATCTGTTTTAAAATGCAAACATATTTTGATAACTTTTTTTGAATGTATCCAGCACATTTAAGGTAGTTCTATTTAACTAAAACAATTTTGAAGTGTGTGTGCATTTTTAATTGAATTCCAATTTCCATCCAAATATAGCTTGACACGGTAACAAAAAATATCTAGTAAATAAGAAATGCATTCCTATTTTTTAACATAAGGATAATATAAGAATTAATATGAATGATTAGCTATAACTGTTTAAATAAGTATACATAGATACAGTGTGTCATCCTGATTTGCAAAAAAGAGTACCAAATTATTCTCAAAAGGCTGGTATAACCTCTCTCTTTACAGAAAATAAGTGCAAACGCAAAACAAGATTGAAATCAAGATTTTTAAATCAAGATTTCCTGCTCAGATTTAAACCATAATTAAAATTGGTGAATTACTGTACTTTAATTTGAAACAATCCACCCTGTAATCAGTTCCATTAAGGAAAAAAAAAAAAAAAAAAAAAAACCAACACACACTTGAGATCCTTCAAAAACAGATCCTAATATTGAGGACTTGGCTGAAACTCAATCGAGCTGATGCCAGTAGAATGAGACGTCCAACCGGAAGAGATGGCAAAGATATCAGTCCACAGGAGTTAGGATATTCAACCACCATTAGTAATCTGAATTTATAACTTTGGGAGTGGGAGGGGAGCTGTCTGGCTAGACCAACAGCCAACTCTACGTAATGTAGAAGCAATGGTCAAAAGGGTATTTTACAACTTGCCCCAGACAGATCGGTACAGGCTTTTCTTTTGAATACAGATTTTAAGATCATCTGTGCTGAAATAGGGCACCCTATCAACAATACGCAACACCTGTGCTTTAGGACCTGCACTAGTTAAACAGTGCTCCTCTGGAGGCACGTTTAGATACTGGATTTTTGACCTAGAAAATCCAAAATGGTCAGAGACCAACCTACCTGAAAGTGCACCTTTCACTCAGTGAGATGCTACCAGCCAGCCAAGACTACACTGGATTCTGCCTTGACATAGATAATGGGTGGCTGGTAGGATACTCTCCAGAATGACCCAGGAGATCTGAAAGCCGACCCACTCTTGGTCTTAAATAACCCAGATTCCTTGACCTTCAGGGCCCATTTGTTCCATCTGGCCTTTGAAGAGAGGTAGGGGGAATGGAGGCATAAACCAGTGTAAATATCCCCTTCTGGCTAACATTATACTGCATGGGAGAAGAGTGGACATGACTGCACTCCATTTTGTTTTGGATATATTAAGTGATTGGCACAGTGATCAGACCTTAAGTATGGGGCACTTACGTCCTTTTCAATTTGGATGAAATAAAATAAAAAAGGTAAATTTAAGCCCAGCTGGACAGCATCTCTTCCCTTCCGACTCATTTTAGACTACTACCATTGCCAACTATGGTGGTAGTCTAAAGGCAAAATATGGTCGTGAAAGTTTACTAGCATGGGCACAAGATCTGCTGGCATGCCCTTTGCTAGGGCTTTAAAAAAAAAAGGGGGGGGGGTAATTGTACTTGCAAAGTAGAGCAAAGTGCCTCGCACTAGATTTTCCTCAAGTTGTCAAATGTCTGTTAAAAAGTACAATTTTGTCTTGTGCTCTTCCTTCGTAAATCAGTCTTCGAGGATATTATTAAAAAGAAAGGAGCCCTTCACATCAATACTCAACTGAAGACAAATAGCGAAAGACAAATACTGGTCATTCTAATCCTTCAAAGCGCAGATAATCGAAAAAATATTTAATGGTGTTCTGAATCCTGGGTCCTTTGTGATGCTGCAGATGCGCAGCATTTATTTGTGCAGGTCTATGAAATCACTTAGAGAAACTGGATAGGATTTCAGGAATACTATGGGAAGGGTTCTTTTAAAAAATAAATAAAAAAAATAAGATTATTTGTGGATACAGGAACAGGGTAAGGTCCTCAGAACCAGAAGCCTTGACTTAAGTCATGGAAACAAGGGTTG